GCTGAGTCCCAGACTCTTCATTGAACCCCATGAGCTTTTGTCCCGTGTTTGTCACAAGTGCATTGAACAGCAGCGGCTGGATGACCCCGTGCTGGACAAGGTTAGTTTCTCTTTGCAGCAGAAAAATGGGGGGTATTTTCAATGGGCAGAGAATTCTGGGGCTCTGGAGTGTGTCCTTTGCCTCCCGTTGGACTGAATGAAACTTTCTCATAAAGGATGATGGTTGCCGCCGAGATCCTGACATTGAGACATCCTAGCATCCATGTCCAAGAGCAGTGCTCCGGGCACTAGTCACTTCAAATCTTCTTCTAATTTTCCCTTTCCCCCTGTCTCAGTCTTCCCAGGTGACTTTCCTTCTTAACTTCTTTAAGGCTCTGATGAAGCCTGCGGAATGCAAGGAGGTAGGATGTAAACCTCACACGCTATTAGTTGCAGATGTCGACACACCACTCTCCCATTTTTACTTAATGTGTCTGCCCTTTTGCTTTCTTGCTTCTGGTACAGTAATATTTCCTCTTGGCCTTACCTGTCATTTTGAACGCTACGTAACAGCATGCAGCTACCCACTAACCTCCCGTTGCCTGCACCGGCAGATTGTCCGCACAGCCGTGCTGCAGAGCGGCGCTGTCTGGCACACCAGGAATGAGTTGAAGCAGTGGTGAGGCTGTGACAAGCTAACAGAATGAGAACACCCAAGCTGTTACTGTGTCGGCACTCCTCCTGTTTTGCCCTAGGGACTGTGCAGACTGATACAGTGTGTAACAACACGTGTGCATCCTCTGGCAGTCTCACAGACGCTACAGTGGAGATGGATCCCACTGGATCCTATTCAGTGCTAGATTCCACCCATGCTCTCCTTGGTGCATTGATGACGATCTCTCCAGTGCATTACCTGGAGCAGGAGGTGCATCTTCAGTGCAGTGGAGGGAAGAAGAATGTGTATTAGTTGCAACTTTCCAAAAAACCCAGAATTCTGAAATGATTCTCAAGATCAGCCTTTCCAGCTTTGAAACAGTATTTTTTTAGCATCAAATACTGAATCACCAACATCTGAACACGTGTTCTTGTTTTTGCCCAGGCAACCAGTTGCATAAGTAACAGGAGCTCTGCTCTCACTATGGAGAGCAATCAGCCAGGCTACACAGGAATCTGATACTTGGGTTGCCCGTACAGTCTGTGTTAACGGAAGTATCTGCATGAGGTACAGCATCCAAAACAACTTTTCCAAGGTGTGATGGGTTCTGTTTGCCAGTGCTATGGCAGATGCAAATTTATGAGGATTAAAATGTGAGCATTGCAAAGTTTTGCTACTCATTAAACTTTGCAAAAAATGAGAAACATTATCTTACTACTAAGATCTCCCACTCTGCTTGAGGTGAGTCTACATTTTGGACTAGCCTGCAGTAACACAGAGCTGGTGGAACACAGCTGATTTTCTGTTCCTGAGAGTGGGGCTGACTTTGAAACTTTGCACACAAGTGACCTCCCTTCCCCTGAGTTGTGTCCTGTGACTTGCACAAAATCCTCTCCTTCAATTCCTAATAGCCATTTACACAGCTGGAGCAAATGTCTCCCCAGACCTTTGTAGTTTCCAATAAAGCTTTCCCTTTAGCAGCCACCTGCTGGTCTTTGAGCATGAGCTTAATGCTAGCTGACAGCAGTTATTTTTAGAGATGTGGTTCATTGAAACCTGCTGTTGTTGGAAAGCTGAAATACGCATTTTAACCACCTTGGTTGAAAAGCAGAGAGCTGTGGAGCTCAAGAGTATAATTTTTCCTGATTACAGGGTGTACTTTAGCTACAGTACGTAGGATGCAGAAGAAGGCTGTTTGTTTTGGTCTCTGTTTTCTGTAAATAAAAATGAAGTTTGTTGTTTAACGCAATTTCCTTTTCACGTGTGCTTGGATAACGGAGGATGGAAGCTTTCGAAGCAGCTGCACTGGCCATCTTTTGAGATAATACTAATGCACCAATTGTGCTGTTCCCCACATTTCCCTCCTTGCCCCATATCTTCCTGACTATTCCCACTGCTGCATCCTCAGATAAATCTACACCAAAAATAAAGTGGGCATTGGCTGTGTGTTATGTGAGTGGGTATCCCTGTCCTATCGTGACCTTCAGCTCAGCTGGGAAGAGAGCAACATTATCAGTAGCCCAGGTAAGGTTACTAAAGTGCTGGTGTTTTGTCCGTCTTTTCTTCCTCGTGCTCCATCTGCCAGTGATCACTAAGCAGTTTTTTCTTATGGCCAGAAAGCAAAAGACTCACCTCTTTGTTGGTCAAGAAATACATTGCAATCAGTTTTTCAGGAAAGGATGAAAACGTAGGAAGGTTGTAAGTACAAAATGGAAGAACATGTGGTTCAAATGAGTAAAAAGGCCAGATGTTTTTAAAAAAGGTATAAAGGTTGCATCAACAAAATGTCCATCCAACCATAAACTGACCAACTGCATGTACAGAATATTTAAATCTGCATGTAAAACAGACAGTTGTGCATGCATCTAAGTGCTGGTATATTTTGCATACCAAAACATATAATTTGTGCACCACAGTATTTGTTTGCATGTGTGCAGATTTTGCAGGTGCAACCATCAGTTCCTTCTTTGAAAATCTGGCTCCGCTTTCAGTGAGATACATATTTGCTGGGAAACTTTAATGAGTAAACATGTTTCAATCCCTATCCATCATTTTGGTTTCCATTTCAGGCACGGGTCAGAAAATTTGGACCCAAAATCTTACAGTTGCTGACAGAGTGGATGGAGACCTTCCCATATGACTTTCAGGAGGAGCGGATGATTGGCCACCTGAAAGACATGATTCACAGGATAGCCCCATGTGATGAGGTGAGGATGTCTGACCTAGGACATTGTGTGGAGATGTTTTGTTCATTTTCCCACTTGGTTCCTCCTTTTGGCGTATTCTGTTCTGTGTCTCTTCCTGGGAACTCTTACAGTTTTGTTCTGCTCTGACAGTTGAAACATGTAGTAGCTTCCCTGAAAGCCACACCTCTCAGTTTAGGTACCCCTGTGGCAGTGACACAGGGACACATTGGAGTGATCAGTAGAATTTATCTACTGCACATCAGATTATAAGAGAATAACGTTCCTGGTTTACAGAGGGAAAATTTGAGGCATAGCATAGACTGAATGTGGTGGTCATGATTTAAATAGCAACAGAGCTGTGATCTCCCAAGTTATAGTTTAGCAGAGGAGTGAAGTATTGTGACTGGAGACCAACCATCCTGGCCAAGCCGTGGCTCAGGGAGTGCTCCAGGATGTTTAGTTTAGCAAGCGAGGAGTGAAGCAATCAGCCAGTCGTCAAGTGATTGCGCTGGGGAGCTAAAAAGGATCATCAGTTGCCTGAAGGTACCTGATGAAGGCTTCCTCTCTCTAAGAAAATGAGGGGTTGTGAAAGAGTAACCACCAAAGGGTGTTTATGGTCCTTTTTTCTCTCACCTTCTCCATTTGTTTATGTCCTTGACCACCTGTGCCGAAACCTAATTTTTCATTCCTTATTTTACATGTCTTCAGTCTGTCAGGTTTTTTAAAAACAATCTTTGCATTTTGTCATCTTTTTCATTAGTGATTCTAACAAGTGTTTGGCTTACACCTTCCTGTCCTGTGTAAAGAGTTCGCAGGCCCTATGCTTGAGCTGGGTGATATTGTAAAGCAGGGAGCCAGACAGGAGGCGAGCAGGCACAGAGCAGCAGACTCTGATCACAGTTTGACTGATGCCACTGGAATCCCCATCAAAGTTCACAGTATCTATGGGCCACGAGATAGCTCCTGTTGAATCCAGTCTGTTTGGCTGATGTGGTGAGATAGCAAGGGACAGTCCTTACATTTAAAGAAAATACAGATATTTATGGGCATGTAGCTTCTCTGGGAGCGTGAAAGTGGTGGAAGACAGCAGTATGTGGCCTGCTGGGCAAAACTCAGTCTAGATGGCTGTATGGTCTTGGTGTTCAAATGCATGAGCCATGTGTGTGGCAGAGTAGGACACAGTGAGTGGAGTCTCTGGGAGACCTGCTTGCAAATTCAGGTGGCTGAATCCTATAAACTAATTCAGAAACATTAAAGATACCACAAAATCCATGAAAATAATAAGGATAAGAGCAAATAATATAGAGAGTCTCTAATTACTTCTAGGTTAACCATGGGATGTGGAAGAATTCAGTTCCATTGGCTACATCAAGGCCTGGCTTCAGGCCACAGATGGGTGCAATTTAGTAGAACAAAAATCGTATACCCATGAGTCCAAGAAAGGGGTGGAGAGAAGACAGGAGGAACTAGCAGGGTTGCAGCACAACAGAAATTAAATTGGACCCTCGAACCCACATGAAACACGAGAGAAATGGAAACAGCTGCTCTTGGGCTGGGCTGGCATCACAGCTGGCACTTTTGGGTGGCTCTAGGCTGGCATGGCTTGGCTGTCTGGGCTGGCCAGCCCGTGGGGGAGAAGGGGTGGGAAGGGGAAGCTGCGTGACCCTTTGATGGAGGTGAAGGGAACACAAAGTACTTTCAAAAAGAGCCAAGGTGGCCTCGATTCTGTTGAGCAGAGCAGTAAAACTTCTCCTTCACAGGGAAGAGGCAATGAACTTGCTCCTGCCAGTCACCAAGAAAGGTGCCTTGCAGCCCTTCAGCATCTGAAGCGAGAGAAACCCATACGCACCCACCAAAATCATGTCCACTGGAAAGAAGGAACCAGCCAAAAGGACAGAGAACAGGGGCTTTATGGGTGCTCTTTAAAAGCAGTACCTGCCCTGGTGAGAGCCATAAATGCTAAAAATCAACTTTTTGCATCCAAAGCAATAGTTTATTTGCGTAACCTGAGCAAGTGCTGCACACCTTCGCTCTGGAGTGGGCATAGCTGTGTACCAATGCTTATGGGTACGCTGCGGGGAGAATCATTGTTTTTCAAATTTTACTAGGTACTATAATTGCAAGTGATTATGCCTGAGAAAAATTAATAATTAATTTAAGAAGCAGCTCATATCCTGCAAATGCAAATTTCCTTTTTTAAGGGACAGCACGAAAGAGTGGTGGTGCCCATTAGTTGTTGGAAGGAAGTTGTGCCCGTTGTGGATCATAGAAATTAAAGATTGAAAGATTTGTGAGGTCATCTAGTCCATGTAGGTTAATGCAGGATTTTCCCCTGCAGTGTGTGCTCCTGTCCTTTGTAGAGTCCACTTTCTAAAGGCTCTGTGATGTGCTTATAAAGGTGTCCATGCTGAGAAGCATTTCTTAGTAAATGCTGTGATTTGCATTCAGAGTTAGACATTTTAATTAAAATTTGAGCTCCTCAGCCACCTGCTGAGGCCTGCCATCTTCCAAAGAACTTTTCCAGTTAAGAACAAAACATTTTCTTTAAATATTAAACAGTAGTATGCTTCTATTGACTGTTAATGTGGCATCGAAGTGAGAGAGAGTCCAGCATGCAGCCCCTGTACAATAGGGGGTCACTTTGTGGCAAGGTAATTACCAGCATGTTGAAGGTAATGAACAATGTTGTTTTCACTTAGTGAGCATAGTTTAAAGAAGGCAAGAAATGTTTTTAAAAGGGCAAAAGCAGGATTTTTTTTTTTTTAATTTCTCCTCCAACACGCACAAAAAAGCTTTTTAGGCAAGGGTGCACCCAACCTATTTTTAGTGAATCTCTTCAAAAGCTCTGAGTAATCTTTTTTGTGTCCATTAAGTCTTTCTCTTATTTCATTCTTTAGTAGGTGGTTGGCTTACCTGAGTCTTTGTTTACTCTTGTCTATATATATTATTGTGCCATATTCCCTACAATACTAGGTGAAACTAGATTTCTTGATAAGGATTTATTGAAAGTCTGGGTAATATGCATGTCTTTCAAGCAATTTTATGCTGCTTTTTGGCTTTTCATCCAAACAGTGAAGAATTTAATACTGCAGAGAAATGGCTGGTCCAAGATTTCTTATCCAAACTCCTTTTTGAAAGAGAACCAGGTTTTCAGTTAGAAGTTTTTTAGTCAGATGTTTTATCTTCTGTAGAAGACTTGGATTTTAGTGCCATGCCTGCCCCCCAACCCCAAAATTAATCCCCCTGTTTACAAAATATGTTCATGAAATACCAAATATATTGCTATTTGAGTTTCCACTGAAAAATAACTTTCTATTCATAGAGCTTGATAAGATATGCTGAGATTTGCAAACACACCTGGATGTAAACCAGAGAAATATTTACATGGTGATCAGTAGTTTGGGTCCAGGACAGTCTTTGTAAATCAAAAGCGTGACCATCTGTTTGAATGAGGAGTTAGATGAAGACGGCCAGTAGTCTCTCTTCCCTGGAGCTAGTATACATCAGGAACAGATAAAAACAAAGAATATTTTTTAATTTTCTCATTTTTTTTAAACATCTTCCTCACTCAATTTTCACTCCTCCTGTGTGATTTGCTTCCAAATATAACATATGTTGTCATTCTCCAAGACAAGTCCTTCCTGCCTTCTAAGTACTTGCTTCATTTTGGACTTACCAGCTCTGTTTTGCAAAAACGCCTAACTACATCCTGCTTATGTGGTCCGTGTTCCAGCCCAGCTCAAGAGAGCATCTTCCTTGAGTGAAATGAGAGGTTCCTCAGCAATGTGAAACCTTCTGCTAGGAAAGATGTATGAAAGTTACAGTGTTGCAGCAAAAGTTGAAGCACTTGGGATCTTCTGAAGGTTTCCAGTCTCAGACTGTAATGGAAACAGGGTAGACATGAGCATGTTATTCTTCATTGTGAAGCAGTAGGAGATGCTACTTCCAGTGTGCAGATGGGATCCTGTGTAGGTGAGAAGAGCACTGACTCTGCCTTCTGGTACCTTGAACACCTAAAACATGAGTGCTGTCAATGCGTAACACTGAAGACTATCCACAGTCTACAAAAATCTGAAGAAGACAAAGGCTGTATCTAAACCATGGGATTCGGGAGTACTTCCCAAGACCTCACTTGGGCTGCATCCAGCTTGGGATGCAACACAGGTGTGTGTTGGCCTTCATGGGAAGGCACACTCCGGCCAAGTCCCTGTTGTGATGATGAGGACTGCGTGGAGCGTGCCAGGGTGTACATCTGCTGTGCAGTACAGATGTAACAGAAGACGGCTTCGTGCCAGCTCTGGTTTCACACTGACAGATTACAAACTGATGGTACTGGCAACTTGATGTTACTAAGTTCTCTTTGGACGGGGAGCAAGGAGTTATTGCACTTGTGAGCAGCCAGAGGCTCTCTCCACTGTGTGTCTTTGTGCTGGAAGAGGAGCTGGTAGTAGGCCAGCCTGCAAACTTTTCCCAAGTGACCATGCTCTTTGAAGTTGAGCAGTGTTGTGGTTTAACCCGGAAGGCAGCTGAAGACCACACAGCTGTTCGCTCCCTCCCCTCCCTCAGTGGGATGGGGGAGACAATTGGGGGAAAAAAAGTAAAATTGATGGGTTGAGATAAAGGCAGTTTAATAGGGTAGAAAAGGAAGAAGGAATAATAATGATGATGATAATAATAATAATAGAATATATACAATAAGTTATTCACAATGCAATTGCTCACCACCTGCTGACCAATACCCAGCTAGTTCCCAAGCAGCAGCCCCCTGGCCAGCTTTCTCCCTAGTTTATATACAGGATATGGTCTGGAATATCCCTTTGGCCAGTTGGGGTCAGCTGTCCTGGCTGTGTCCCCTCCCAGGTTCTTGTGCCCCCCCTCCAGCCTCTTCACTGGTGGGGAAATATGAGAAGCTGAAAAGTCCTTGACTTAGTGTAAACACTGCTCAGCAACAACTAAAACATCAGTGTCTTATCAATATCATTCTTATCCTAAATCCAAAACACAGTACTATACCAGCTACCAGGAAAAAAATTAACTCTATCCCAGCTGAAACCAGGACAAGCAAGCACCCATTGAACCCATGCCTGATGCTCCTTTTTCTGGCTGGGAAAGCCCATGAGGCCATATTCCTCAGCAGGGTACACCCCATGCTCCACATAAGGTTTTTGCCCAAGAACGTTTCTAATTAATCCTTGTCTTTAGAGCCGATCCACCAATTCTCTCAATTATCTCAGTTTTATGATGTCTGCATCTGTCAGTCATGAAGAGCTGAAGGCATTTCTTTCTGCCAATCCTCCATGGCCAGCAGCTCCACTCAGTGTCTGTAAAGAGCATCTCCAGCTCTGAGAACAGCCTGAGCAACTTAGTAATGATCATCCTGCTGAGCACATGGCTGTGCTTGGAATATGATATGAGCTTCCTTCAGTAGCAGTTAACATTTTGGATATTAAATACTCAAAGCTACATGATGCTCAGACCATTCCAACTGGGCAGCAAGTAGCAGCATGCTTCTGCTGCTCTCAGCTCAAAAGGTTGGAGAGAATAGTGTTAGAAACATTTCTTATTCCTAATAAGTAAGAGTTGGCTAGGTACCACTAACAGGTAGAGTTCTTGGCCAACACGTAGCTGACACAAAGGATAGGTACTGAATGCTGCTGTGTTCCAGAAAGCTGCAATAACTCATGTTTTAGCATTAGCTCTCTGATCCTGAGGTTGGCAGGAACATGTGAGTATCAGTGCCAGTCCAACCCACCAGTCCTGCCTGCCTCTTCTCTTGACTGCAGCCTGTTTCTGTGGTCCAGAGCGCAGAACTGTAATTAAGCCAACTGCTTATTCTGAAATAGGCTTGTTGAAAATAAAATGGTAACCTGTTGCTGGCTTAGGGGTATTTTGCAGAAGGGAAAATTCAGCATAAAACCACTTCTTTGTCAAGTTCTGTGGGTGGTTTATGTGTCTTCCTCTCCCTGCCTCTCCAGGCCTACTGGAAAAAGATGAATCAGCTTTTGCAAACCCTGAATCAGAAGCTTGCGACCCTCAGCCATGGGCAAGAAGGGATTGTCAAGATCAGTGCTGCTGTCTCTGATAAGCTGGTTGCCTTTAAAAGTAAACCTCCATCAATTCAGAGAGAAATCCTGAGCGTCTGCAGTGACCCTTATACTCTGGCTCAGCAGCTGACACATGTGGAGCTGGTAAGTGGGAATGGTTCCCAATGTCGGCAGTCAGAGATATTATTTTAAGCCATCAGCTGCTAAGTATTCCAGACACAACCAAAAAATGTCTGCACTGCTGCAGCACATCCCGTGCTGTATCAGCACTGCAGCAGGAGGCAGGGTTTGACAGGTTGAGAAGCTTGCAAAGCAAGCTGTATATCCATGTTCCTGTGCACCTCAAGGTGGGTCACTTTTCACCCTGCTTATCTGTGAAATGCGAGTCATAGTCACAGGAAGGTCAAAGGGCTCCCACTTCTGTAAGGTACCCTGAGCCCCGCAACCTGAAGGTGCTATTGAAATTGCTGGTCATTAGCCCTTTTATTAATTTGGAAGAAATTTTAACAGTTCAAATCTGTTCCAACAGGTACACAAAGCATCTGAGTTGTCTGATGTGGTTTTCATTGTTCCCTTTTGGACTTTGTGCATGGACGTACAAGGGTGTTCAAATACCACCCACAAAGTCCTGCTGTTTCCCTCCGTGGACTGCAGCTCACTCTCAAACAGGCTTTTGGTGGTAATCACTCCAATTGCAGTACCCAGATGCTGGACAGACTGTTGTGTTGCACACCCTTCTCCCAGGTTCAGGTCCTCCGTGTAGACCTCTTGGATGTTCACAGAAGAACATAAAAAATTGCTGCCATCTGCAGATCTCTTGGTGCTGTAATGATTCCCTGCTGCCTGTCCTCCTGTAGACAGTATTCATTCTTGAAAGGCTGGAAAAAACAACCATGAAATGGACTGTAGATTGGAGTGAATATCATGGAGTTAGCCTTGGGAATTCTGAAGGTAGTTGATGCTCTATTTGGCAAGAAGTGGAATAGTTCAGAACCCCCAAATTTAGGATCATCTTCTCACCTTAGTTTTCAGAACATGCAACTTTGGCTCTCTGCTTTATATGACTTAAGCCAGACAGTAGAAGTCCTTCTGCCTTGAGGGTTTTTTTCCTTGCTTTTCTTTCCCTCCACAGTACAACTGTTTTCCAAGAGGAGATTCCCTGTAACTGGGGCACCACTGCACTTTTAAGACTGATGCAGCTAGAGGTTTTCATCCCACTTTACTATAATCAGTGATATCTACCTTCTGTTTCACTTACTGCATCTGGTACAGGAACTACTCTGCACTGAAACTGTTTGAAGCTTATTTGTTAGTAAGAACTATTTGCTATTTATTTAATAACAGTTATTTGCTAGTAAGAGTCCTATATGGTTATCAGTGGCAAGGTGAGAAGCCAAGAGAAATGGCATAGGAATTGCCATAACATTTTCACTTAAGCAAAACTACCATTAATTTTGTTGTTGCTTGAGTGTTCTAAGTTTGGGCTGTAGTAATTCCAAAATATCTCCTCTGAAATACCTTTCTGGCCTACAACAAATATTTTTTTCTAATAAACACGTTTAAGGGAATTGAAAAGCCTAATAAGAAGGCCAGTGGTGTGGCTGGAACTGCCAGGTTTGTTCAGGAGCTGGTGGAAGTGAACTGTTCTTTACTAAGATAGATCTGGATGCTTTATTTACTCTTGTTTTGAGTAATGCCTGGGACACTCTACAGCATAAGCAATGTCTTTGCAGATGCACATGCTTATATTAATGCCTTCCTTCCCCAGTGGCACAGAGCCACCACCTTGGGGCTTCACCTGAGCTTCACTGGGTAGGGAGGTAGGGTCAGGGCACTGTGTGTGCAGATGAGCAATGGATTGCCATGGTTACCAGATCACAATTATTGCTACCATTTTAACAGCTGGGAAACAAGGCTGTTGAGTAATGCTGGACCACAGCGGGTCTGTGGCAACACCAAGCACAAAACTGAGGTCTGCTGGCTCCCAGATGGAGCCTTGTGCATCCAGCACCCTTCTGTCTGTGCAGTGGAGAGGGCTTTTCCTGTGGCTTGTCAGTAATGAGATATATTTATTCTCATTTTCTTCCTTCTGCTGAAATAACTCTATTTGTTCTTATGAATTTTAATATCTGGTGCTAGTTGGCTGTCTACCAGTTCAGTAACACCATTCAGAGCTGACAGATAATGGGGATGACTTACCAAGAGAAACAGAAGAGATTTTGGGGTGTTTTATTTCTTTCTCTCTCTCTCCCCCCCCAGGAAAGGCTAAGTCACATTGGACCTGAGGAGTTTGTGCAGGCATTTGTACATAAAGACCCTCTGGATGGCACCAAGGTATGATCTGTCTGCATGCAAAGTGTCTCCTGCAATCACTATTTGTTCTAGATGAACTGATGTAATGAGATCCATGAGAGCAAGGCCTGGGGCACGTGTTGACCACGGCCAGGCCAGCTGATGACCTGTATTCTCACAGCAAGGATGAGACCTGTTGGTAGAGCTCGCGCTGGCAGGTCATTGCCATTCCTTCCTGGTGAAAGTATATTCTAGCCTGAGACTGGCCAGCACTCTGATATTCTGCTTTCTGGCTTGTTCCTCCTAACCTGCTTTGACCAGGGCAGATGGCTTGCGGCTGTACACAGCCAGGGAATGTCTGTTCCCAGCGTTGAAGCGTAAAGACTCTGGACGTGATGTAATGCCCATAGTGTGTGCCCAGACACCACAGTAATGAGTCAGTGCGTCATGAATCAACATACTCTTCTCTCTCTACACAATAGCTTTTAACCCAAAGCACCGCAGGGAACGGAGTGTCTGATCAGGGCTTCATCCAAAGTCTGTGAAAGCCAGTTGGATTCTTTCCACTGATTCCAGTGGGGTTTGAAGCAGCGTTTCAGTGAGTGCCTCAATAAGGAAAGAGACTTCCTGGCTGGAGAGGGAGAGTCGGAGATTTCACATACTGCCAGAAAAGAAAGAGAATGGAAGATTCTTCCCCAGAACTGCATATGGACTCCCACTGAGATTATAGATCAATGGCAGAATTTTGTCATTGGATGCTGAACATAACAGGAAGAACTCTCTTTATAGTGCTGCCCTCAGAGCACCACAATAGCTTGTAATGGTAAAAAAATGGATGGATGGATGGATGGATGGATGGATGGATGGATGGATGGATGGATGGATGGATGGATAAAAAGTGCAACATTGGGCTCTTTCCTTCTGTTATTGGAGTTATGAAGATTCTGCAGTTGGTTTCAGAGAGAGGGGAGTGGGCAGAGATGGTGTTTCAAGTATTCTGAGCATTGATCACATCCTTTAGGAAGGAACCTGAAGGTAGCAAAGATGTGTCAGAAACATGAAACCAAACCAGCCACAGTGAGTTTTCAGCAAGGGACAAGACTGAAAATGAACAGTTGTCATATCTGTTGTGAAGTAAAATAAAGAGATCAAATGAGGGCACTAAATTTGAGTG